GTGAGCCCAGACATCTAGATTAAGGTAGTGGGAGAGCTTTGGGGCAGGAAGGCAACTGGAAAATGCGTGAAGGTACCTTCCAACTTACAAATCCAGGGTAGCACTGTATACCGGTGTAAGGCTCATATTGGCCTCTTGTGAGGTTTGATGCCACTCTACCATCCAAATCACTAGTGCAGGAAGCTGTAAACTGCAGCTGAGAGGCTAGCAAGAGTCATCACAAATAATGAGATTCAACTGCCAGTAGTCTGGTTTTGAAAGAGCTTCTTTTCTTCTCCTGGAAGCTAATATACAGCTACTTTTTTTTTCCTTTGTGTTCCTACTTATAAGGGTACTATTTGAGCTCTTGTGGAAACTACTTTCTCTTCTTGGTATATGGCACTGTTGCTGAACAACCCAGCCGAGTGTCAAACTGAGGCCTCACGTGTTAGGCAGAGGAATGGAAGGACCAGCTCTTGGTTTCTAGCCCCAGCTTTACCGTTAACTCATTCTGTGAGCGAGTCAATTCATGCATAAATCTCAATTTGTCCATCTCTGTAGTGGAAAGGAGACCAATGTCTGTTTCAGGCACAGATGCTGTTGCTCTGGCCTGGAGTAAGAGCAGGCAAATGCAGCATGCCTCTTGAACAAGGCAGGTGGCTGGCTGTAGGACAGCCTTTCTGGTTCAGAGGAGCTTGTCCCCTCTCCCAGATTTGGTTTTCAAATAGAGCCAAGACAAATTTAAAAGATATCTTGTTTGACAGAAGTTTTGCAAGGGGCTCTCACAGAGTCTGAGGTGTCAAGGCAAAGTGGACCCCACCTTGGGTTTGGCAAAAGCTCTTCAAAGCCCGAACTCTACTGACACCATGAGCTTCCATTTCCAGTGAAAAAGGGATTATTTTTCTTGTAAGACCTAGCAAACTATTGACTTTGGATCTCTTATCGCCTTGTTTTCCCTATTATATTTTTAGATCATAAGTTATTCTACACAATGAACTACTAAAAGATGACATATAGGGACAATTCTAAATCTCTGCAGTAAGCCCTGGAAAATGCGGAATTTCTACCTGCCCAGCCTTCTGGAAAATAGCCAGGTGACAAAAGTTATCTTTTCTATATGAGAGTACCGATGATGGGGAGGAATGACAGCTCCTGAGCACCACCACCAGCTCTCTGCCCTCACTGTGCGTGGACCACAGAAAGGCAGCTGGCACCCTCCTTGTTGACTCTTCCTCAGCTCTTCTCCTGCCTGTCCCATTTCCACGTTTCTTAAAAAGATTCTGTTGGAGTAGCAGTGTATATAGACTCTTAATGACAGCATGGGCATTGGTATGGAGCACCAAATAGAAAAGCTGCTCCCTTGGAGCATAGTGATACTCCTAGGGTCACATAGATGTTAATTTTTACCCCTAACAATCTGCCAGAGGCAGAAGTTAGTCACCCCTTTCCTGTGCCTGAAAGATTTCACATGCTTTGGAGGACTCTCAGTGCCAATACCTGAGTGACCCACATGAATAAATCCTGTAGTTAGTTTTCAGCTCTAAATTTCCATGAATTGGCAAAGCATAAATATTCACCTTCAGATGACTGTGACAGTGAGCAGCATTGCTTTACTTTAAAACTTGTATATTGACCAGCCTGCAAACTAGCTCTCAGCCTCCTGGCTTCAGCAGTATGGTATGCTTTCTCAGCAGAGACATCTTCAGGGTGAATACTTCACCATAAAACTCCTCTGCTTGATATTTTCAAAGCAATTTAGTAATGTTTAATATTCTAAACAGCGGGACTGTCTACAGTTTCAGTCTTCATTGCACTTACAGTGGATTCAAACCTCCAGCTAAAGCAGAATTTGCCTTAAGCTAGAATTGGGCTACTATGTAATAAAATCTAGTCATTAGATGAATAGAAGGTGTGCAGTGAAGTGCCCTGAGCATGTTTGAAAGTTCTATCGCATTACTTCTTCTAGAGTGTGTGTGTGTTTTGTTTTTTTTTAAATAGGGTGATAAGACTTTGTGTGTGTATGCATCCATGGCAGGGCATTTACACTTTTTGAAGAGATGCCTCAGAGGAAACATTCCTTATTTTACACAAGCCTATTATATTTACAGCTGTATTTCCTGTAAGAAAATAGATGTTAGTGCATCTCCCACTGTCTTAATGTCAAATTGGCTCTCCAGTTGTGTGCACACAGAGCGGCAGACAAAGCTGAAATGCCTGAAAGCTGTATTGGGAGTGGAGCCTTGAACCACAGTTAGGGAGAGTTTGCACTTGAGCTCAGATAACAAAGAACCTGTTAGAGATGATCCTGTAGCCAGGCTCAGAATAAGGACACATAGAGAAATCCGGAAAAAAAGTGCTGATAATGTAACTTCAGAGCAGCACGTTGAGGGTCTTAAAAAATGAGCAGTCTGACATCACTTCATGCCCTCATATCCCTTCGACCTTTACGCCCTCCCTGGGCAATGTGCTCTAGGTGACCCTGCTTGAGGAAGGGTTTTGGACTAGACGATCTCCAGAGGTCCCTTCCAACCTCAACCATTCTGTGATTCTGTGATTGCCTGTCTCTGCTGTTCCCCTCAGCTATTGCCCCTCTGTTGCTCCTGGGGTGCTTGCTCCTGCATGGGAGGTGGAAGTGAAGATTAGGAAGGACATTCCTGGGATTTTTCTCCTCTCCCTTTCTAGGTGGGATGTATGGCAAAGCAATGGCAATGACTAAGCAGTGGGATTGTGCTGCTGCACACTGCCAGGAGAGGAGCCAAGCCATCCAGCAGGGATCTTTCTGCAAAACAGTCTCGAGTCTGGTTTCGAGGGATTGGAGCTATTCTTGCCTCCTTCATCCTCTCTTATTGGCTGCTCTTTCCCAAGATGTAAACAACGAAGTGATACAGCCTCACAGAAGGTTTCCCCTCTACCCTCCAAGCACCACTAAAAATGCGGATTTTGAGTTTTCTCATTATTTCTTGCATTTGTCAAGCCTGCAATGCACATTCTAAGCACTGCTTCTCCCTGGTCTACCTTGCTTTGAAACATCTTCTTTGCAAACCCCTCTGACATTGAACATTTTCATGCAAGGGTAGCTAGGCTGATGTACTTAGGATAACAAAGCCATCTATATCCACTGTGTTGGCTTGCCAGAGTTCTTGCACCAAGGTGGTTTATAAAACTAGAACGTAACTCTTTAAACCTGACTAGTAGAAGTGTTTCTAGTAAGAGTTATACCCCAGTGTTTTTCCCTCAGCAGTTGGCAGAAGCTTAACCCTTTACTACTGTGCAGCTTGCACCTCCTCAATGCATATATGTCTTCTCAGAATAGACCTTGCTGACTCAATCCACCTCCTCTAGAGAGCAACTCACTCCATCCTAAGTGATGTAACTCAGCTAAGTAGAAATAATGGCTCTCTTCTAAGTAGGAATAAGGGCTCTCTCTCTTTCTCTCTCACCCTCTCCAGGGAACCTAAAAACTAATTTACTCCAGCTCCATAACTTCTGTACAGATACATTTGAGTAAGAACAGTCCCACCTTAAGTTTTAACCTTTAGTCCCACCCTTATGGTAGCAAGAAAAGCATATAGCTAGAGAATTAATTAATTCTCTACCTCTAATTCTCTACTTAATTCTCTACCTCTAATTAGCCACCCTCTGTTTTAATTATACCTTTCGCCCTCTCCTTGGCATGTAAAGCCCTCCCTCACATTCATGTGCCATTCATATGGGAGTAACCTAAGGCAGTCTGACTAGGAAAATCTGTATACGTAGGAAAAGAAACGGAGTCATCTCAGGCAAGACTACCTTATTTGACCCTCCTCCTTCCTTTACAGCTGGTGTTGCTTGAAGCTGGTACTTAGAAGAATGAAAGGGCTGTAGCGTAGGCCAGAACTTGGCAGACAGGAGCTGAACGGGTTGCCTCCATGCATCCCTGCCAGTCCCCTTAATCCTGAGCCATAGTGCCCTCTGTCATTCCAGTTCTTGGTCTTTCCCATTAATTCTGCTGTTTATGCCTTTCTGAGCTGGAATCTCCTCTCATATATATGATTTTTACATCAGTATAAATTCACTGATGCCAGGGAATTTGTTTCTACTTTGCATTCACCTGTAGAAGAAGATAATTAGATTCAGCACAAGTTTCTAGGCACCAAATGGAGTGAGTATCCCTTGTCTCTTCATTCTGGTAAATCCTCTTTGTCCCCCTATTCTTCGTCCGTCCATTCCAACACACAGCACGCTGCTGTTATTCCAATGCTATATTTCCACAAAGCACTCTGTGGTACTCCTGAGCCCTATCCTGAACTTCTTGTTGGAGCTGCCTCATGGACCTCACATACCTGCAGCCCCCTCCATGCTGGGGACGGGACTTCCATGGGATAAGGACTTCCAGCATCATCTTCCTGGGGACAGTGTCAGTGCGGAGATGTTTGTCAGTAGCCTTTTTGTTTAGCATCACCTCTTAACATTCAGCCTGGCTATTGTAAATTACCCTTATGATTGTTTCGTTTTCTCCGTAGTACCACTGGAGAGAGCCAGTTAAGGATTTGGACCTCCCTGTGCTCTGCACTGGCCAAACAGAGGAAAAGGCCAGTCCTCGTCTCTTATAGCTAAAGCACTGCATTATATGTTCCTAATAAAAGAGCAATTGTATGAATCACAGTAGCAAAATGTTCTTTCAGTGCCTATGCCCCACTCCCTGTCTTAGGCGTCCAAGGGTAGCTGCACATCGTTCCAGAGGAGGCTTTCACCTTAGACACAGATTAGTCTATAGCTCCCTGTGTCACTGAGGTGTAGCCAATGACATAGCATTCAAGTGCATTCTTTAATGAAGTTGCTTGTGACTGTTTATTGGACAAAAATAAATTCCAGCTGGCCCATACAACAAATGAAACTCAACTACAAAAATGTAGCGATATTTATTCACATAGCTGCCAGCAAACTCACATGCACCATGAGTCATTCCAGATGTGGATAAAAACAAAGTCTGTCTGTGAAAGTAAGTTTCCTGATCCCGAGGAGACTTGGTTTGGGAGAAGAGCTGCACATTGACTTCAGCTATACTCAGAGGAACAGACAGGTTCCTCTTTCAAAGGGGGAGGGGGAGAGGAAAAGTCATTTATATTCCTGAAAAGAAGAGAGGTAGGAAATAAACAGCTGGTATATAGCTAGGCATACTTATTTTAAAGAGAAGGATGCATTGGAAGACTTTGCTGCTTCTGCTGTTCTATTACAGTGTTCATGCCACTGTGACCTACAAATGGAGCAGAGGTAAGTTTTAAATATGAAAACCTATTTAAGGGAAAATTTTGAATGTGTACTGAAACTATATTTCATTATAATTTAATTTATGCCTCCCAACTATGGAATTCTTTTTCTCCATTAAACATGAGGTCAGTTAAATAATTATATAGACAAACAGAAAAATATACATGCATAAATACATTAGAAATAAAATTATGATACAGGAGCATATATAGGAACAAAATCCCAAGAACTAAAACTCTGTTCTTTTCTCATTTTTTCTTTTCTCACTCCTTCTTATTTTTTTTCCTCTATTAATAACAGTTCCAGGTCATGAAATCTCAAAGCAAAACCCTTTGCAGTCACAGGTGGCATGATTTTCTGCTCCACCAGGCAGATATCTATAAATCATAAATGTGACAATGCTTAGTATGTGCAGGGTGCTTAGGAATGCTTAAGACCCTACCGTGATGGACTTGCACATGCAACACAGAGAAAGTTACCCAGGTAGCTATCAAGTTTCAGCTGCCAATATGACAATATGTGGTGGTGATATATTTGTATTCAAGTGTGCAGCAGCAACTTATGAAATGGTTTGGGACTGCTGAATTGCATAGAAGATGCTTGCTTAAAAGCTAGTGATGATGTCTTTTCCTTTTTCTTTTTTTTTTTTTTTTCCTCTCCTCTGGTATTTGGCACAGATTCTGTAGCTGCTGGGTAGAGCTGCTGGAAATGGAGAAAGGAAATACCTCCCAAAAGATTTGTTTGGGACTAATACTGAAATGCACAGATTTTTCAAAGGAACTGGAGTCTATTAAATCACCCCCCCTCACACACACACACTCACATACACTCACAGAGTCTTCTATTTCTTACTCCTTATGGTTAGTTCCTTTCTGATATGTGCTTTAGGTTTGGCTGGATTTTGTAAAGGGAGGTAGTGACTGAATGGAGTAATGCTGTGGCTGTATCAATGTTTAGCTGTTCTTTATTGTTAGCGGGGGCTCGCTGATAGGGTACTGACCTGGGATGCGGAATGGGAGACTCTTTACCTAGCTTTCCCACCAGCTGCTTGGATGATACCAGAGGAGTCACTTTACCTGCATGTACTTTATAGTTTTCTCTAATAATAGGGGTAATGACACTAATCACCTTTGTAAAACCCCCTTAAAGCTTGTATTTCCAGGGATGACACTTAAAAAGTGAGGAAATCATAGCTACATCTGTATATCTGATAAAAATACTATCTTTTGGGAGAATGAGGACACCTTATCTATGAAGTGGAGAAAACAGAAAGGGTTCTAGTTTCATGAAATCATCACCATGCAATTTAAGGAAGTTCTTTGTTTATGCTAGGTCACTCATAACCCATGTAACTACTACAGTTCAATTTTAATTGTCATGAGCCTTTAAAATAAAACATCAGAACTCTATTCTTCCTTTCGGCATAGCAGATTATTTTAAGAATGGAATCTCTAAAGCTTATTTTGGGGGACTTCACAGGGAAGAAGAGATTCAGTCCCTGTCATGATAAGGAGAGTTCAGTTCTCACAAATATTATGCAAAGAGATCTGCTAAGGGGGGAGCAGAACTTCCTCTCCACAGCTACTTGGACTGTTCAGCTCTGAATATGTCTTAGATGCATGACTCCTCCAACAATACCTACTTCAGAGTATCTCTACTGCCCTGAAATATTCATGTGCCAGGCTAATCAACCCATCCTATTCTGCAGAATTTAGAGGGAAAAAGCACTATCCTCATTTAAGAATTGCTTAGAAACCTGGTAAGAAATTTGAGTTCTGAGGCATGACACACCCTTCTGCACACTCAGAGCTCTTCCTTCCATCCAAGGGACAAGTGACTTGTGACTGCATTAAACTTAGTTGATTAAGTCTTATCCAAGTCCTGATCTGAGTTTGGCACTAGAAGAGCAAAGACAGTCAGCACCTGCTCTGATGGAAATGAACTATAAATCTGCATATCATCTCCATTTTAACTAGTAGTCCAGGCTGTTTACAAAACAGTACAACGGAAGGGCCCTTTTAAATTACCAACAGTTGATTTTTTTTGCTGTAGAAATGAACAGTGGACTTTGGGTAAAATAGGATCTGGCTTTTCCCCTTTTCACCAGGAGGCCCTAGGACAGGCTTAGACGGCCAGCCCTTATAACCAAGTATTTAAGCTCTGGCTCAAGAATAAAGTTAGACCTGAGGAAAGATGAACATGTATGTGCTGAATACTGAGTGGGAACTCCAGTGTGCCACCTCCTCTCGCCTTTATGAGCATCAGTGAATGGAGGAAAAGCATTTCTAGCAAGAAAATTAAATGCTTCCTTTTTCATCCCTTGCTAAGACACAGTAATTTGTGTTAAAAAACACACAGACTCCTCAGCCTGCTTAAATCCAGCTGTGGTCATTGATCCAAATGTCATAGGCAAAGCCTGGGTCTTAGGAATAGACTTATTCAAAAGAATAGAGGAAAGATCCTGAGTGGTGGTGAAATTATTTTGTTTACCATTTCTGTTTTCATCAAGCGTCCCTTAGCCTTAACTGCATGGTTTTACCCTCCTGGATTTTGTGAAACTGATGTCTTGGGAGAAAATATAATACAGGGTCTCTAATGAGTGGCATTTCCATGTGCAGGTACCGGTGAGGGGACATTCATTTCTGAAGGGCCCAGATAAGAATTCCAGACCTTTATAGATGTTTGTCCTGTAGAAACTAAGGGACACATTCTGTTCTTTAACAAAAAATAAAAACAAATGACCGCTGCTATGGTAACCTGAGCCAATGTCGCCGTTTGCCACCCAGTTGCTTTCATCAAACTGCTCTGACGAGTATGGCTCAACGAAGAGCAAAGTTAGCTTCAGATGTGCATTCTAGGAATTGCTTGCTCCCTGAGCAGAAACCCTAAGGTAAGACTTGTTTAGCGCATTTCAGCTCCACTGGTTGTAGTTTATTTGCTTTGCGGGGTCCTGGATTCCAATAAATAGCACAGAAACAGGAACATGCTTGTTATGTGATTGCTTGAGGAGTGAATATGCAGTATGATTCCCCGTGGCTGGGACTTCCTGGAGAGCAGAGAAGCAGATGCAAGTGTACGTTCATCTGTGAGTGGGGGCTGCCGAAGGAAGGCACAAAACGAGAAGGTAAAACTCTTCTCACCCAGCTGTGAGAGAAGTAAGGGGGAAAAAGGTAATGTAGCCATTACATTGTATTAGCACCACCAAGGATTCACGCTTTTAGGGAATAGCTGTGCTGGGCCTTCCAGTCCCCCCAGTTTTACTGCAGTTGCATCCAGATCTATCTTGTCCACATACATCATTTTATGCCTATTCTTCAGTGCTCAGTGAAAGTCAGATTCTCATTCCGTAATGTCAAGGGACATGGATTTTATTCTCTTCAGAGGGTCTCTACAGAAGGAATTCCTTGGACCTTAAGGACGCTTATCCTCCTTGATTTCCCCACAGAAGTGTCAACTTTCGGTATTCACTCTAGTGTTGCAGCAACAGAGATTGTTAATTGGATGAAGCAGCTGTTACATGAGCTACAAACCCTGCAGGTTGTTGCTGTTCATGGGCTCAGCTATAGGAGGCTGGTAGCTCTCCAGTGCCAAGGAAAGGAGGACTATGGATTAAAGAAAAAGGCAGACTAGTCTGTGCTGAAAAAACAGCCAATCGTTTTATGAGGAAGCAGTGTTTAACATTTTCTAAGCCTAATCATTTGCTACATACCAGACTGCTGATGTGGATGAAGGATAAGTTCCTTGAACGTTAGGGTATGCATTCCTTTTTACATGATTTGCTTCTTTTCCACCTTATCACATATTGTATTGTTACACCCAGGCACTCCCTTCTTCAGCAACTTGTAGGATTCACTGCTGGCAGTATTGCTTATTTAACACTTTTGTCTTGGACGGTGTGAGTGAAGGGAATATGGTTTGAACACAGCAGGTAATTGCTACGTAAGTGGTTAAAAACATATACACAGCAGCCCTTTAGTATACCAACTCACAGTTTTGGCTTATCTAAGACATATTGAGATTTTCAAAGGTCTGACCCAAGAATAAAAAGCATTTACACCAGCTGGACCTGGTACAAGAACTTTTTAAAATGTAGCATCTATTGTAATTTCCTTTAATTTCCAAAAGTCATTGTTATCCAAGTCATAAAATATGTATTGCGCATAAAACTATGAAATATATGAAATATTATGAAACAGAGCCAGCTCTGTCTATGCCTGGTTGTGTAAAGTACATTTCTTCTTATGAAGAAAATACAAGATTTTCCTGCTCATTGGCTCCCACAGGATCACTTGGAAAATTGCCTCGACTACCCTAAATTCCTTGCTTGTTGGACCCATTCCACTGACATCACTGGAGCTGCACCAGCAAAACATTTGATCTACTGTGGAGGGTTATTTCCACCTTTGCTGAGTCTTTTCTGCACCAGTTCTTGGAAATGCATGTTTGTAGGCTGGAGTTTCCTGGTTTGTGAGTTCATTTGTACAGTGCAAATTGTTAGCGAACTAAGTACTGCAACAGTACTTGTAAAGAGAAAGAAACATTGCCTGAAAGACAGACTGGGATAGAAACTCAGGGGCATTAGCCTCTGGATGGCCTGAAGAAGGCAGCTTATATGCCTACGGTTTTATTTCCTGAATTCCTTTGTAAAGAGTTATGTAAGAGAGGAGAATAAATGTGCTTCATAGACCTAAACAATAAAATCTTAAAAAACAAATTGTCCAACAACTGTAAGAAGCAGCAAGGAAGCTTTAGAAAAAAAACACAGTAAAGTAAACAAAGATTTGTTTTCAAGCAGGTCTAGAAAAGAACTGAGAATTAACGAGCTAAGGAGGCAACTAGGATGTCTGCGTGGCACAACGGAGTGCAGTGCTGAGATGATGCAGCCAGTGCCAAGGCAAGGTATCTGTGCAGCACAGCACAGAGCAGGGCTCAGGCTCTAGCTGGAGTCCAAGAAGGGTGACAGTCACATAAGCATAGCATATGCCAAGGGAATAAGTGTTGTT